ATTTTATTAACAAAATATATATTTTTTTGGTGTATCAGCAAGATTATAGTTTCTATATATGTAAACTTATAAGGCTATCAAGAATATAAATTCAAAAAATGTAAATTATAGGTTATTCGAGCAGCGCTGGATGTACGTTGCGAAATTTATGTAACAATAATTCATTAAATAAATCAATCATTTCTTACTTTCTTATTTAAATAAATAAATCATCAAACATTTCGATCTTTTTAACATGGTTATCCTCAGTGGAGGATTCATGTTAAAAAGTTCGAAACGTTTCATGATATTTATTTTATAAATTATGAACATATGCTTTTATTGTTTGTTTCCTGCAAATATATATATATATATATATAAATATAAACATATGTATATATAAATATACATACATATACATTGCAAATGAAAATTATATCATTTATAATAATTCACATAGCTCGTTATTTCTCTCATTACATTTTTGCACGTTGTATAATTACAAGTATTTTTACATTATTTTTTCAAACATTTTAAATACATATGACCATATGTGAATATTTCGTGTATTTAAATTGCGGGTGTAGTTGGACCCAAATTTTATTGACTCTGTTCAGCGTGTCGCCAGTGCGTAATGATATACCTTTTTTATTATACCATGGGCGCTACGGTCACGGAAATTCCATTAAACACGATAGGTAGTCTTTTCAATATTTTGATATTCCAATACGTTTTCTGGTTGTTATTCGATCAACAAGATGGATGAGTAACTAACACTAAAAGACAAGATTTGTTGCATTATTCTCTGTAATAGACCTCAAATGCTATTGTTATAGAATTTAATTGTATCAGGTTTTGAAATATAATACAAAAATTAGAAATTGTTTTATTTGTAAGTATTGTGAAGTGTCTGAACGTAAGTTAAGTTTAATTTTATAATACATATAATTTAACAAAACTGACATCAGATAAGGAAGATATCATCAAACATGATTATAAGATGATACGTATGCAACTATGTTCTCCATTAATTAAAGAATGTATTATAATAATCAAGATGACTATGCAATATGTCTAATAAAAAACAATACAGAAATAAGAACAGGTAATGCTGTACAGTTTCAATTATATTTTTATATATTAAAGTATATTATCGTAAGTCTGATAAAGGAATTAATTTTTTTTATATAAACAGGAAAATTTCCTCCAAAATTAGATAATGAATAAAGAAGAATTTGTTTAATTTTACTGATGATGATTGTCTACATGGGATCGATCATACGACAGTTATGCATTGTAATTATGATGCAGAGACTAATTCATATCCTGAATTATTTTCGCATGTAAGTAGTTTTTAAAAAATATATTTATATCAAGCGATATATGAATAAAAATATTTTAGGGTGATCAATAATATAACTTATTTATAGTATGAAAGATTGCATTAGCTTGTGTATTAGAACTCAAACAAATTGTACAGTTGCTAACGCTGAACATTATTATGATCTAAGTTCTTTAACAAGAACTTCAGAAAATTATATGATTCCATATAAAAAATAAAACAAAATTCTTCAAATCACCTAAAATAATATTATATGTCTGGCAGCCTATACTACTTCATATTATAGTATCATGTATCCAATCTTAGACGATCCTAAAAAACTTAACTTATAGATAGGTATTGACAAGCAGATTTTATATTAAAATTAATTATAATGTAAATATAATATTTATATAATTTGATTTTGTTATATATTTGATTGTATAATTTTGTATAACAGAAAACCTTTTACTTTAAAAATAAATTGATTTTTGTCTTATCTTATTATAGATATGTTTTATTTTTTATACGCAAAGGAATCATATAATTTTCTGAAGCTCTTGTTAAAGGACTTAGATCATAATAATGTCCAGCGTTAACAAGTGTACAATTTGTTTGAATTCTAGTACACAAGCTAACACAATCTTCCATACTATAAATAAGTTACATTATTGATCACCCAAAAATATTTTGATTCATATATCACTTGATATAAATATATTTTTTAAAAACTACTTACATGCGAAAATAATTCAGGATATGAATTAGTCTCTGCATCATAATTACAATGCATAACTGTCGTATGATCGATCCCATATAGACAATCATCATCAGTAAAATTAAACAAATTCTTCTTTATTCATTATCTAATTTTGGAGGAAATTTTCCTGTTTATATAAAAAAAATTAATTCCTTTATCAGACTTACGATAATATACTTTAATATATAAAAATATAATTGAAACTGTACAGCATTACCTGTTCTTATTTTTGTATTGTTTTTTATTAGACATATTGCATAATCATCTTGGTTATTGCATTTTTTAATTAATGGAGAACACAGTTGCATATGTAAAATCTCGTAATTATGTTTGATGATATCTTCTTTATCTGATGTCAGTTTTGTTAAATTATATATAAAATTAAACTTAACTTACGTTTAGACATTTCACCAATACTTTGAAGGAGTGACGGTTAAAATCTACAAATAAAACAATTTCTAATTTTTGTATTTTGTTTCAAAACCTGATACAATTAAATCCTATGATAATAGCATTTGAGGTCTTACAGAGAATGATGCAAAGAATCTTGTCTTACAGTGTTAGTTACTGATCCATCTTATTGGTCGAATAACAATCAGAAAACGTATAATAGAATTATTCAGAATGGATTCCGATCAAAATAATTAAATTATTTCCTACATTTCTATTGTGTTTTTTAAAGAAACTGTAGGAAAACTAAATAATTTCGATCGGAATTCATTCCAAGCAATTCCATAATACGTCCTCAAAATACTAGAGAGACTATCGTGTCTAATGGAATTTCCATGACCGTAGCGTCTATATCTATAATTTCGGTCAAATACATGATATTTTAATATTTAATTAAAAATGTCCGGATGACTCACAAATGTTTTTAATGGTACTTCATAACTCTTCATACGAAATATAAACGATTCCATATATAAATTTTGTTGAATTTAGATCCAATTAATTATTCGGTCAAGTATGATCCAAAAAAGAATAATTAATTGTAATTAATAGAATGACTTACAAACCTTTTTATTTGCACTTCAAAACTCTTCATACGAAATACAAACGATTTAAAATGATAATTTTTACAATCGGAGGTTTTGTCCAGTCACGTACATGCGAATCTCATCGAGTGATTGGTTCTTATTGGTGGATCCATAAATAAGAACCAATCCCTCGATGAGCAAGCTGCATTCCCAAAACCCATCAAAAGAAAATTGTTGCAACCTTTCTGTGACCGGCTGTACATAACTGTCAGTACATCCATTTTCAATTTGAGAACTGCGTGATTACATTTTCTGACATTATCGATAAAATTATATTGTTAAAAGTAGATGTGGTTTGTCTCTGTACTAAATCCTCAGAATAGGAAGGTACCGACCATAGTGGAAAAAATAGAAGATGAAATATTACACATAATGGCGATAGCAATACTGGAAATAACTAATCAAATGTTTCCCAATATCAAAGACATAGAGAATGAACTGCGCAATCCCTATCTAAGTAGTATTCAAATGTGGTCGACAATAATGAGAAAGAGGGACCGTGGAAGACAATTAATCTCTCTTTCATTCTCTCTCCCATTACGCTATTGAATGGAAAGAGACAGAGATGACCGTCTTCCACGGTCCCTCTCTCTTACTTTTATCAACTATTTTGACATATGAATCTTGCAGTCCATTCTCTATGGCCCGAATTCATCGTTTCTCAAATCTCAAGATCGGTTTCAAATCTTAAATCTCAAACCTCCAATCTCAAATCTCCAACCAAAATTTCAGTGCTAGTGTCTAATCATGAAATTGAATTCTTCGTGACTGTTCATGACTGAACCGGAAGCCGAAAATGCGAGAATAAAATAAAGTCTTGTGAGATCACTCAAGCGAAATGGACATGTGCGTCTCGCCTCGCTTTGAGTGTTGTATCATCTCATTCATTTTTTGAAAAGCGTTTCCGGGTTCGACTGTACATTACAATACATTATTTGTCTTGATTACATCATTATTTCGTCCCATTCATTGGTTTTCACGATTTATTTACGATTCTGGCCGGGATCGCCACCATTTTTGCGGCGAGTGGTATTAATTTTGAAGAAGAAGAAGAAGTGATAATAAAATAAAACGTGATGACTAATGAACTTATAAAACAATATAACGGCTGAACATTTAGTAAATTCATTTTTTAAAGAAAGTGTGAGGTAAAAAATTAAAATATTTATAATATATAAAATATTTATAATAATTGGTGAAAAAATTTCGCTGAAAATATTCTACGTTTTTTTATTATAATAAAAATAGACACACACACACACATCTACGTATATACATCTACGTATATAAATATATATGTGTGTGCTTGTTAAAATAAATTGCTCGTAATAAATATCTTTTATTACTCCCTCGTACAAATATTCTATTAGCATAGATTCGCACACGATCCTGTTCCGAGTTAAAGAGATGAAGTTCCTTGACCTAAAATAGGACCCATGATCGCATGATTCTTGAAACTGAGTCGTAGAGTTTTATCAGGACGTTAGTCTACGTTTCAGAATCACCTAAGTGCGTTTGACTCGCTCCATCCCCTTCCCCGTGGAGACCAAGCTCCGTGCGTCTAATGTCTTTCCACACTCCATCCTTCCTATTCTCTTTTTTTTTTACCCATTTCCGGAGTTTGGACGTAACACTATTTCCTTCTCAACAGCTTGTGACAGGCGATATCCTTGTGCATTAATGAATAATAAAATCCTAATTATAAAACTCCACATAAGAATATTGGCATAATTATTATTATGAAAAACAAAGAGGAAGAAAACAAAAAAATAATTTGTGGAATTAAGTCAGTATGAATTTAAAAAGTAAAATTATTTTAATTATATACATATTCTTCTTAAATTGTGTATATGTATATACTTGTACATTATATGATTGTGGTTACAAATTTTATGTTGTTGGTTTGTACACGTCATCTAAAGCTGAAAAGAAATGGAATTAAAAGATTGCTACAGGAAAGCAAGACATTTGTTTAAGAAACGATAAGATATTAACAAAAGAAGTGGCGCTGATATATCAGAATCAATCATTCAGTTTATTGTGTACAAAAATATTTCTTTCATTGTCCATTATTGTGAAGTGAGTCCACAGTGCTTGTATGCAAATGCTGTGCATATTGATCATATTGTAACAACCATTTACAATATGCACATTTAAATTGTCCTAAAAGTCAAAATACATGTATTAATGCGATAAATATGTATATAGCATATCTTGTTAATAAATAAAATATAAAGAATACTTTATCATGTTGTGTAAATTATGCTGAGATGTGATGTCGAATCCTGTAACAAGCATTTATTTATTTATTATATAATACATGTGTTTTGCATCTTGACAGACAATGTAGATAACATAATAATTACGAAATGTCATAACTTTGAAACATGTTTCGTTGGTATCTATGCAAATACACAGCACACATGTGTAGAAAAAACAGATAAACTTACATTTATTCTTCCCTGCACGATTGTAAAATCTTTCCACAAAACATTTTCCTATGTCGAATATCAAAAATCCTCATTTATCAATTTTAATTTGCATATCACAATCTATTCCGCTCAATTCCGAAAAAATTCCGAAAAAAATTTTACTATGGGGAGCCCGAGTGTGAAAAAGCGGAACGGAATCATTCTGATTGGTTAACCCCTACCCTGTTCTTTTCCGTTACTATTCTGTTCCGCTCATGGAGTAATAAAGGTGCTGTCCTAATAAGCATAAGGTGTAAGAAATTTACTAGATATAAACATAATAGAGATATCAATAGCGTCAAGGCTGTGTGGCTCAGTTGCAGAACGAAAGTCTATCAAATCAGAGGAGAGAACAGGCCTGGGATCGAGATGAAGAGCGCCCTGATATTTTTCTGTTGTCGTCAATTGTTTACACACGAATCAAAATGACGGATTGATTTCTTACTAGAATTGAGCATTCTGTTCCAGTTCCGAAACAGTTTTCTGTCATGGAACTGTATAGATATGCATAGTTGAGTTGGAAGAGAAAGTGTGAAAGAAACAAACAATACTTCATAATATTAAAACAGTTAATTAACTTTAACGGTGAAGTACGCATATGCTCCTCAGAAAAAGCAAATTCGTTATTTAAACTACGTATTTTTAGCAAAGTTACACAGTTATCTTGACAATATGCAATCTTTTCATTTCTACATCTATATCTGGAAGCAGAAAAATATCAGAATGAAACGGAAATTCTGGGTACGATCAATATTCACACATAGAATGAGGTTTACAAGATGCAAGTGATATTTGCTCCTTGAGATGCAAAAATATCTGATCGTGAAAAATACTTTAATTACTTTAGAATGACTCCAGAATTATTTAAAGAACTGCTAACATCAGTTGGACCACACATTCAGAAAAAAAGTTGTCGAATCCCAATTTCACCTCGTACAAGATTACAACTGACTTTGCACTAGTTAGCATCCGGTGACATCTCATTCGTATGCATTTCGTATTGCACTCAATATAGCATCCAAAATTGTAAGACAGACTTGCACTGCATTGTGGAAAGTCTTGAAAGATAGTTTTTCTGCAATCTACCGCTGAAAGTTGGCAAAAAGTTGCTGATGAATTTCAACAAATCTATCAATTACTAAATTGCGTTGGCTCTATAGATGGGAAGCACATTATCATTCAGGTATGTGTCTAATACAATCATTTTTGTATATTTTTTAATAAATTTGACATTAAATTCTTGTTAATTGTAGGCACCACCGAATAGTGGCTCATCCTGCTATAACTATCAAGATAATCATAGTATAAATTTACTTGCCGTGAATGCAAATTATTGCTTTAGCATCGTGGACATTGGAGCTGAAGGGAGACGTAGCGATGCAGGTATATTTACTAGCAGTGACCTTGCTCGATTACTAGATAGAAATTCACTTCAACTGCCTATGGCCAGGTATTTGGATGATAGCGGATTCAAATTTTATGTCTTAGTAGAGGACGAGACATTTCTACTAGCATCTTATATGATGCGGCCATACTCTCGAAGTGAGAACTTAACTATTACGAAGAAATTCTTTAATCACAGATTAGAGCACGGAGAACAGTAGAATGTGCGTTTGAGTTATTAGAGATTGGCAAGATGATTGGGCGGCAATTTTTCGTCGGCCAATTGTCTCTCACATTTCAATGGTCAAATTAGCCGTTCAAGCTGCAACAGCTATACATAACTTTATAATGAAACGTGAACTTCAATTGGAGCTATCGGAAAGAATTTATTTTGTTTTAAGGTGGTGATGACCGAAATGTAATTTCGACTAGAATTGAAAATATACATAATTGCAATGCACGAAAGAACGTTGAAGCTATATGAATTAGAGATGTCTTTGCTATGTATTTTGAACTCCAAATCCATTTGATTGTCGATGAAGGAAAGCTTCTAAACAATGAATATTAAATTTCTATATTATATAATTATATATTGTTATATAGCAATATGTTATATTAGATGTACAAAAAAGTTCTGAGCTTTAGATTTGATACAACCGAAATAACAATTTAAATTTTATATATCTTCCCGCCCTTTTGCGGTTTTAAAGCGTTAACATTTGGCCTTCTAAAATGCCATACGGTTTGGCGTTTGATGCACATAACCTCAAAAATCAGTAGTATTCACGATGGCAATAACAAAAGAGCATATTCGATTTTCCATCCACTTCGCGTTTCATCTGAAGAAAAATGCTGCTGAAGCCACTGCAATGATTTGTGCT